GATGATGATGATGATGATGAGTATTTCTCGTTACTAAACATGATAGCAAACACGCCGGACTTGGTCTGGAAACTTGAAACTTCGTGCTCTAGACGAATTTTTGCGGCAAAGCACCAGATTTCCTGCCGATTCGTCGATTGTGAATCGATATGGCGTTCGCAATATTGGCTTAACCTGTATGGACCACCACTCGTTCGCCACCGTCATGGCACGTTGTGTGGGATCTCCAGGGCTAGTTTATCTTATATCATTTTGTATGTATTTAGTAACTTTCAGGGCTTTCGTAAACTCATCCCATTGTAAATCTTAGGTGTACTTTCTTATAATTTCTCCCTGGGTGCGGGTTCCGGCCGTCCCACGCATCCACTGGGGTGGTCCTGCAGCAGAGCGCGTTGTCTTCCGTATGTAGGTCTCCTGCTCCTTGATTCTGACAAACAGGCCAATCTAACATCAATAAACTGCTCAAACCAGCACCTTCGAATGATAGCTGTCATTCCTCTATTCTGTCTGCTGATGAACGAAGCCGAAGCAACTGAAGCAACCGTATCATGATACACGGTTTATAACTGCATGGCCGACTGATCTAAGACTCATTTCAATTTTCAGGATACTCACTTTAGATATGACAGAGATATATGAAAAATGGGGGACCGGAACAGTATTGCGCGCACTACATAGGTGTCACCGAAAGTTGACACTGCTTGTGCAAGGGCGATAGGTATCGCAGAACACGTATGTGGCTATAAGAATGTCCCCTGCATGTGGTTAGTTTCTATTTGGCTGCCGAATATCAAATAGTACGAGATGATATCATCTTCCCGACGAGCGTTTGGATTTGTCTCAATTCGGTGTTTCTTTTTTCCTTGTAAGGACCGCCATCAAAGCACAGTGCCTTGAGAATCTATACGGGTGCTTGCCGACGTGCGACGCAGCAAAGTTACTGAATGTGGCTGTCTATGATCGTGTCGAAAGCATATGCAGACAACCTTATACATCCGTTGATCAGTGGCTAGCTGATGGGTTTCCAAAATGTTTCGACATTTGCGAATTGATTTCCCAACCGACGAGGCTTGTCATCTGGTTGGCGAAGCGCAAACTGATTATAAACCGAACCCAGTGCGCAAGTTGCCAACGGCCGATGTTGATCAAATGTGCGCCCTTCCGACGACAAATGTATATATGGGCATGTCGGTTCTGTGGACAGCGGTCTTCTCTCCGACTGGGGTCTGCATTCATGAAAACTGGTGTACCAGAAGCGAACATCATCCTCATACTGTACCTCTGGTCTTTGGGGTACTCCGTGGAATTTTGCGGTACAGAATTAGAGTGCTCGTTAACATCTGCGAGGTGCTATATCTGGATGGCCGTTAGGAGTGCGGCAGCCGTAAGTTCCTCAACTTCGTCTTTCTTAACTCCTCGATTTAGGAACTCCAGCGAAACTTCCGACCAATTTCGGGAATTGTCGAGATCGAGTGGGAGAATTTTCTACGCACTACTGCTCATCGAGACGGGCTGTTTCTACTGTGCGGTGTTGAAAGATCGACGAAAAACGTTTTCGCTGTACGGTGCCCGGAGCCACATAATAAAGACGCCCTACAAAGTATCATACAGAAAAATGTATCGGTGTGTTCAGTGCGCTTTGTGATTAATTTGACTCTTACAGCCTGGTTCGGTCATCATAACACGTGACCGGTCAATGTTCACACAACTAGAGCTACCTTTGCTCGGCTACCCGCACTACTTCTTGGACGGGACGCATGGGACGGCACTGGATGACGTTCTGATTGACCTTACGCTAGTGGACAATTTCATTGAGGGAATCAGAAGTCATATACGCAAACAGGGTGGACCTGGGGTGTTCTGGACGGACTTACTCCTAACCGAGATGCTCATACGCCGAACATGGGGCGAAAGTCTGTTCCCAATGCTTCTGTATTCTATTTCTCGGTCGTATAATGTATAGTCCTAATAAATGTTTTTTCCTCCTGAGAACCGCCGTGAGTCCTATTGTCGATAGTTTTCCTTTCATGCGCATTCCCAGGTTTTATTTCCATTTAGTGCCGTACGAGTACATTACGCGACTTCCTGAGTAAAAGTAATATTGACTGCTCGATTGCCACTGTCTTGGCCTCAGCAACCTGATGCACCAAGGGGTTGTCGTAGCTGAGCTTTCTAATTGGCCTTAGAAATGATGTTTCAGGAACACATACCCTCGCATCACTACGATCCCATTACGTAGCTTAATAAAGTAGCGAAGCCTACGATGCAGTGAATGGTGATTTTGTTGGTAGCAATTTGGCTTGCCAGCGTCGTAACACAAATTTGTTGCTATACCAGGTATCATCCGAAACGGTGCGCACTTTCAGAGCCTATTTTGAAAATGGATGTTTAGAAATTCACCGGTCTACCAGTGTGGTCGGTCACCATCGATATCTCGAAATGGGTCGCTAATATCAGTTTGACTTTGCTTAATTTACTCAGAGTGAAACTGGTAAAGCTCTTTTGAATTTGACCAGCGTCCAGCTGCTCCATTTAAACGCTGAGGACAAGCACTGGCAAGCCTAAGTAGGTGCGACGATCGTTAGCACATAAAAGCCTGGATAAAAAGATATTCCAGAAAACTTGCCGAACCAAGATTGAAATCGTGGCCTCAGAAGCAATCATGACAAGTGGCGAATTCATGTGAATGCCGGTTTTGTAATCATTATTTTTAATACCGTTGGTCACCCTGCTGAAAAATAGACTGTTTGGAACACCCGTCCTAGATGTGAGTACACAGCAATGACTCACTTGTTATAGTTTCTCTGGCGCCATTCAAGCATTGCCCATTTTAGTGGAAACTATACCGGATCACATTTCGTGTGCTACGACATAAGCCATCCAGCAACGGTTCGAAATTCAGAGAGCCATTGCTAGTTAACTAATCTGATCCATCATGTTAACTTATCCTGGGATGTAATCAATTGTGCGTCCCACACGCGCTTGGATACGCGGTGCATGCTAAAAATAGTTGGAGAAAACAAACAAACTAGAGTAAATGGTGAATTTGACTTCGAAAATATGGTAAAATTTAAACACAGCACAAACAACACAAAGCCAAGAAAGAAGTGGTGTAGAAAACAGTGCATCACAGCAGTGCATGTGAGAAATGGAGTTCCAAGTTTTGCTTTCTCGGTCAGAGGCCCACTGAATCAGTGCTTTCAGTGTCCTTTGGTTTATCAGCATGTGCGCTTGAAGAGGGATCTACAAACTTATAGGCGCTCTCTAGTTGTTTCATCCTTCGGTGTTCCTTCCCACGTTCTTCACTTGACTGAAACGAAATTATGGGTGGATAACATTGATAGAATCGTGAGCGCACACTAAAGAACCACTCCAGGCGACTGAGAACACAAGGTAGACTAGGCATTGGTTGCTCAGGAGGTCAGAAGAGAACTGTCCAGATAATAATAGGTCAAGCTTTTTCTCAGTAACAAAGCTCTATGAGAACTGAAGATCAGTGAGTAAAATTCAATTCAACTTCAATAAAATTCAGTCTTCCTCCTGATGAGGCCGCATGGGACACGCGCGGAAACTCTTCCCTAGTCACTTATCGACTCCACATCGCGTCTATGACGTATACATATAAT